GGTACAGAAAACAATTGAGTTGCAGTTTCGCGAAAAAGAGACGTGTCGTAAAAATTGCTTTGAGTTCCAACCTGGTAAGCAAATATGATTCTTATTGTCGGTGTAACTTACAGATCCGGTCGATTAAATTTCTAAAAGAAACTACAAACTACAGATCGCCCACTATGATCCTTACAAATCTACTTATCCAAAATATACTTAGCTGCTTTATACAACATTTAAAAAGCAGTTTATTATTTACTTTAGTACTAATATTGATACAAATTAAGCCAAACATGACGTTCTAAGTTGTTGCGAAAAAATAACACGATGCAAATTTACCATAAGGCGCCGACCTTGCATTGAAAGTAACCAAAAATAGTTGTAACTGTACAATCTTAAAGGTACCTTTCCTATAGAAGTTGGAAAGTTTGGCGTAACAAGTAACCCTTCCATATTTTGCCAGCTTAAGGCATAAACAAAAGAACTTCCGAACGGGACGTCAATGAGTCCCGTTTTCCCGTACGGAGACCATAAATCTTCAAATTTACCACTTTAACTGTTCCGTCCGGAGAGTTGACAAAATAATGGTGTTAGACAATGTCCTGATAATTGTTCAATTGTCAGCATGAAGCGAAACTAAATCGATCTTTGTTAAGTGCATACTTTGTAATGAGACTAAAAAGTTTGCTCTCAGTTTCCGACATAACAACTTAATTTAACTTTAAAATATCATACGTATAATGTTCATACCATATCAAACTACGAGTAGGGAGTTCTAATATTATTAACATACGTGTTCGATGTAAAATTTAACCCAATTCTTTAAAATATTAACGACGAAATCTTAATATCGTAACGCGTTCCATTGCGTTCTCAATGCTCCACGGGGCAAAGATCCTTTTACAAAAAGGACCTAACTTTGTTTTACAATTACGTTCATAACCGTAGCCTATATATGTAATTCTCATGTTTAAAAATAATATTTTGTTTGTAGAAGCAAAGCCTGCACGTGTATTTCACCGACAGGAAAAAAAATCGCGAAACACGAAAGCAGGTAAAATCCCAGTTTTATGAGAGGCGGCACGTTTTATCAGCAGACAACAACTCCTAGAAAGTATTTTATTGTTTTAAGACCCCCAATAAACCTTTTACATGTTCTGTATTCAAGAAGCCGCCTCTGATTTTGTGATACCGACACAAACAATCCCTGAGCATAGACTACTTAGGAAGACACTAGTGTTTCGTAGAAACGAACAGCAGGTCTTTTGTTGTAATTTTATAATGGCCATGGGAATTTTGGTAGCTTATTGGGGAGAGATAAGAAAAAGTTCTTTAAGGTAAAAAGTATTTTATATACCTACACGTGTCTTTTTTACAATCCTTTATGTTTTAGAATAATGCCCATGAAGCGGTGTACACTTTGATGTTATATTTTTAAAATCTGGATGGCCAACTCGACGCTCCTGGCATTAAATTGTGCTTAACGTGAGCGTGTAAAGATTGGCATAAAAACTATAAGTTATTTTGTGAAGTAAGGCTGTTTGCCTGCTCGAATGTTCTTTTGTACTTTGTCGATACTGTACAAATATCACTAAAGCGACAGATGTCAATATTTTTTCGCACAAACCATAAATTAGAGAAAAAGATCCAAAGTAAATATCAACCAAAAAGCCCCGCGGCAAAACCAAATACAATATTCTGAATAAGCCATCGATTGATTTCATAAGATTAATGGTTGCACATTGTCAGCGCCACAGTATGACGAGAAGGCTCGCCGAATTTGCGCAACCAAAATGTGTTTTATAACCTTATGTATAAGGGCTAACAAATTTCATTTTTGAAATCTTTTTGAGCTGACAGAGCAATGAATGGTGTTCACTGTTTTTATTACGAACGTTATTTAAATTCAGCTTTATTTCAACGCGACAAATTTCAAACTCGTGTTCTTTAGTTAGTTTGCGTTGTGACGTTTTGGCACTGGTCTTTAAAACTTGGGGTTCGGTAGAAATTGATTTTGGAATTCAGTGTGAAATTGAAATAAAAGTTTTTTATTTGAACGCACAGTCGACACAAAGTGAGATTGCTTCTATGGTTAATCTGACGATTAAATATTTATTTGTTTGGTTTTAAAAACCAATAGTACTATTTGCCCCGATTTAAATGTTCGACCACATTACAGTGTAATGGATTGAACTTAATATTTTTTTGATTTATGATGAACTTACTCCGTCTGGCGTTTAAGTTATTTTTATGAAAGACTGCATTTCATCCGATATTTGCTTGTGAAAATATTTTTTGAGTAAATTTAAATATCTAATAAACATTTTAAAACATAATTTCGCGATTTCTTATTCAGTATTTTTAAAAAAATAATTATAAATAAATTATAAAAATATTCTTTAACTAATCTTGAACACTAGAAAAAGACACAATACATTATGAAAGTAAAATTTAGTTTTGAAGCTTTATTTCCGAGAATAACTCAGATTCGATAGTTGTTCCCATACAAATGTTCGGCGGAGAACACAATGGTATCGGCTGGTGGGTGTGCGCATGTAACAGATGTGAATCGGTTTGGCCAGGAGGTGTGTACTGTGACAAAGAATGCATATGTCGCTCTCACTGCCGTACGTGTGTACCAATGCTTACTATTGGGCGCTCAAATAGTGCGTACGTTGCATGAGTAAGCTGTTTTAATATGTAGGTATTTGCTATGTATATTGTATACATGTTTTAATAGATCAAGTGCTATAAATATAATTTAAAAAATTAAGTTAATTTAGTTAAAATTCCGACCCAAATTGTATAAAACAGTAACATTCATTTTAAAAAATAAGTCTCATATATTTTATAATACAGTATTTTTTTCTGCTTAATAACATAAGGAACCGTTTGACGAGGTAGCTCGACAAGTTACAAGCCAAGTCTAAGACTCAAAATCATTGCGCGACACGATGCGGCTGGGCAGCTAACACAAGAAGAATATATAATTTAATCTAATATCTCACTCAATAAATTTCTACAAACATATAGATTATAATAAACATATTTTTTGTTATTCATTCTTAATAACGAAACAATACCATTTTTTTTCAAATGCGGTAACTTTCAGTATCCACAGTTTTAATTGAATCGTCAATGGATTGAGCAACCTATTCATATGCAAATAAGGTTTAAAAAGCATTGGTGTTGACAGTCAAATTTTACTTTATTAATTGGACAGTTTATTAAAATTCAAATCATGTTTGTCCAAACATAGTGCGAAAGTAATGAAATATGGATATGAATATACATATTAATGTATTATAAATCAATGTTACATGCTAAAATCACCCTTATTGTATACCAAAAACCATAACAAAAGTTCACTATGGTTTGAATCAGTGATAGGTAGGAGCTAAAGTTTTCGCCAATTATTTATTTATTTAATTACCTACAACAAAAATGTTAATCCAACTCCATTGCAAATTGTAGAATTGATTATCTAGGTGCTCGATGCTTGTGCCGAGAAAATTATTAAGTTGTTATTTAGGTACTTATGTAGGTAATCTACAAATTTTTGTTCTTTTAATTGATGCATGTGAATGGTGTTTCTTCTCTTCTGTTAGACAGTGTTTTATGTAAATTCTAGAAACTGAGTACGTAGTACTTTTTCTTATTCTTCTACAGGTCTATAGTGTAATACCTAATCATATAATCCTTCATAAATCTAATACCTGCTAAGCGGCTTTGTACCCTAAACCACACATTTGAAATTAAAAACCTACACAAATAGCTTAACACAATTTTTTTTCTAAACTTCAAGCCAGATGTTTTTAGTACAGTCGAAATTCTTAAAGCTAAAATAAATTAATTAGTTTCAACAATCAACGATATTAAAATCGTAAAGTCGCTTTGCAGTCGGCGCACGCGCAAGCTCGCATGCTGCGCCATTGTCGCGACCCCAGATTGAACTGTTACACGTCGAGATGAGTTATGTTCTAAACCAGGACTGAGCATACAGGGTGGTGATTTTGATTCCAAATTTGACCTTCTTTTATGCAATGTTTGATGTAAATGTGTTTTGTAATGAAAATAAGTAACAGTTTAAATATTTGTATATTTTCCTAGTTGTAAAAATGATCATACTATTTTTGGTTAGTAGTGTTTTTATTGTATTTTGTAATCCAAAATATTATATAAGATGGTTTAACTCATACTTTTAAAAATAAAAGATTTTTAAGTTTTACTTCTTGCAGCAATTTATACAAAAAAATAATTGGTGAAGAGATGAAATTTAATTCTTAAAACATCCTCTATATAATGCAATCGCCAATGCAGCACAGTGACACACATACGCGGCTTTACACTAAACCAATAATAGAAATCAATCCATACTCCCTCTCTCACACACACCAACAAAGAAAAATCAATGCTTCACCCGTGCCTACGCGCACACAAGGATAAAAGTATTGGAAATATTAGCTTTGTAAACATTTACGGGGTATTTGCAAAATGTTCCGCCAATCGGACTATATATACCTTTCTCCTTCTTATTCAATAGAAGCGCTAACAATAGAACGAGACGGAGCTACTGCCTTTACAACTTTGCAGAGGGACAATGGTGACGCTATTGTTGAAAGTACCCCAAACTTTTTTTAGGTCATATAAAGTATTACAATTGTAGGGTCGTGCCGCCTGTATGCACTTACACCATTCGTTTCGCAGTCAACCTCGGAGACGGAGTACCGTCTCCTACGCAGTCCAGTGTTGGTGCTAATTGAACGATAATCAGTGTTTATCAATCAGTGACAGTGTCAGATACTTTAAAAATATTAGGTATGTCCTTAGCGACTACTAATCGTGCTAGTGAAATGTGGAACAGTAGTGGAGAAGTGAACGCTCAAATTGCTTTACAACCTAAGCTTGACGTATATAAACAAAACTTAAATATGTCGGCTGAATACTACAACAATTACCAGAGTAGTTACTACTCGCAAAACTATAATTATCCAAATATGATTAGTGGTTACGGAAAAATGTATGAACAGAAGCATGAAAGTGTTGGAATAGTGAAATCTGAACCAACTTCTTGGCCTGGTTACAATGCAAATTATGTTCCTGGAAACCATGCTAATGATATGGAAATGATCAACCGATGGAAAGAAATGAACTACTATCTACAGCAGCAACAGATGCAGCAGCAGCAGCAGCAACAACAACAGTTACAGCATCAACAGCATCAACTGTCACAACATCATCAACAACAATATGGATATGAACACAAAATGAATACAATGTATCAGAATAATATAGAGAAGACAGAAGATACAAAGATGATAAATTCGCCAGGACAATGTAGTGTTCCTGAAGCTAACTACGGATCACCTCAAAGTGCAACAAGCAATTTTAAATCACCTACGCACGAGTCTGATGAATCGCCAAATTTAAGGGCACTGCTAATGAGACCGAAAGATAAAAGTACATCACCATACTTTGGTAAATGTGATAAGACGTATACGGAAGAAATGCTCCAAAAAATGATGTATAACACAGAAGACTCTAGCCATTGGGACAAAAACAAAGACAACACTGAAAAGGAAATTAATTTGTCGCAATTTCATGGTAGATTTGACAACGCTGAGGATCAAACGTCAATCAAGAAAGATGCAGTGGGTGGGGCGTTAGAAGGCGCACAGTCATCACAGGACTCTTCGGGACCCTGTCACGATGTGACGAGGGTCGATGCAGGCGGGGACAATGCGGATTACGTTGATAACAAAATGGCGACTGCACAAGATGTGCAGGCGGTTTATCCATGGATGAAGAGTGTTGGTGGTAAGTTATATTTTCGTATGTATATATATTAAACAATTTATGTTTAGTTATTTACATATAAATGTTCTTAAGGAAGTTATATAGGTAGTTGATAAATGTTAATCTGATTTTAAGACTCTTGTAATAATATAATTGTGTTGTCTTACAGGTGATGACAAAAAGGAAGGCTCAAAAAGGACACGGCAAACCTACACAAGGTTTCAAACATTAGAACTGGAGAAAGAATTCCATTTTAACAAATATCTATCTAGAAGAAGGAGAATAGAAGTTTCACATTCATTAGGACTGACAGAGAGGCAAATAAAAATATGGTTTCAGAACAGAAGAATGAAAGCTAAGAAAGATGGGAAACTAGCAACATCACCAGAACCATATAATGTGGACGAAATAAGTGCCGCTAAGTTAGGCATGTCTGAGTACATGGGTGCAACACAGCGAATGCCTGGTCTGGGAGAATATCCTAACTATCACATGAATCTTCCACAAACGAATATACCTCCCCAGATGACAAGCAGTTTACCACAAAATTACATGATGCAACCTTATGAAGGGATCAAGAATATGTAACTGGAATAAAGTAGGTTCCATTATTCATGATTTTATTATTATGTTCTTTGTTATTAAAACCTATAAAGCATCGTTATTATAAATTACTTGCAGTGTTTTTATACAACAAGTCTGATCGTAATTGTTTACCTAAAGTAGTTATCTTAGTTATTCAGTATATGTATGTATAAACATAGCTTCTCATTGATTACTGCTCCTGTTACTTTAATTAATTTATGTTTCCTTATTTTTTTTGTTTCTAACAATTGGTTGAAATTGTTTTAGGATAACAACTCATTAGTTGAGAGGATGCGAACATAACTTGGCGCGAGGAGTTTTGAGTACGAACCCTGGGTCAAACAAAGAGTGGAGAATGAAACTGGGCCAGGCGTATGAGAACTTATAACAAGTAAAAGATATATGTGACATTTAACACGTGGTGTTATATCCGCCTTATTTGCCATTATTTTTTAAATCACTTAATTATAATGTATGTATGTGTATATTTATGTAAGTACGACTCTGCCTTTCCTCGTGAGAAAAGGCATGTTGATTTTAAAGACTGTTTTAACCATAAGTTGGAATAATGTCTAGATGAAATGTGTTCAGTATTTTCATGTTAGCTTAATAACATATAATGTTTATTCCTAAGGTGCCATGTAAATGACTGGATATTGCCTTGCATATTGTACAGACGAAAGTCTTTTGTCTGCTGAGGACGACTCAAATGCATCATGAGGTACTTTTTTTAATCAATTTCACGCGCTATTGTTACCGGGTATTCGGTGCCGGGTACTCGATAACACACGTTGGAACTTACTGGAACATTTGGAGGCTAATTTAAAGTATTATATTGGCACTATACAGCTTATCTAGCTACGCATTTTGCCACCGGGAGCTCGGTTTCGGCTACCTGGAAACAAAAAGATCCATGACATTTGAGTAGACCTTGTTGCATTTGAGTTAAGTGAAACAGTCAAGAGTCTTCGGCCTAGGCAGGCACCTAATACATTTACTTACCTATATGTATGAAAATCGTTCCTATTTAGTTATAGATAATTATTATGAAAATATAATATTTTGTAAAATTGATTTTATTTATCGATAAATATTTTATAGTACTCTAGTCATAAATAAAGAGGAGTTGTGAATTCTGTATATTATGAAAAATATGTTTTTTTTTTCATTTTTCTGCGACTTGTTGATTGTATTGTGCAACTAATTATAATATGCAACTGGCTATGTACTATAGCTATTGCCAGTCAAAAAAAGTATAGTCAGTTTAATTGGGTAGTTTCCTAGGTCAAAAACCATGATCAAGAGTAACCATGGAGTTTCTTGCTCGTTCTTCTCCATCGGAATCTACACTTTGGAACGAGCAAATAGCTTCACTAAGAGGACTGACCGACAGACTGACACTATTTTTTATTTTAAATTTTGTTTGACGTTCAAAAGTGCCTGTAAAGGTCTAATTGGAATAAATGATTTTTGACTTTTTAAAAAAAAAAATTAATTCGACATTTCATTACAATAGAATATTCAAAAATAACTATACTTTTATTCATCGATCCATCGCTAAGTTTTAGATATTTTGTAGCTTATTATTGAGAAATAAGTAAGCTATTTGACGTAAAAATACTATGACCTCATAACTCAGTTTTTTATACAATTTTCATAGAAAAGTAACGTTTTTGACATTTGGATAAAAGTACATATTGAATTTGACTAGTTCTAATCAATAACGAAAACATCTTATTATAAGTATCTTAGCTACTTATATTTAAAAAAAATAGTAAACATATTAATAATCTATGAAAAACCTTACTAATTTAAAACTAACTTTAAAATGGTTGACACCAAACACGAAAACAGTAGCGTTATCTACCTATTTAAAATAAACGTTTAACAACAATAGTATAATCGTTAACAATGTTCAGACCAACACCCAGACACAATCAAATAAATTGCAACTTTATCCTAAACGAAATAAAGTTTAACATGGCTTGACAAAAAATCTTTTGAGATTAGTTCGATGTGCGGCTTGTAAAGAACCCTTTCGCATAGTTTAAAGGGTTCTAAAGCGTAAACACAGGTCTCCAGGGATCAGTAGTAAGTGTGCAAATGTTGACAGGATTTTGACATGTTTTGACAAACTACTGGATTTGGACAAGGACTAAAAAAAAAGTGCTGAGTAATCCTGTTATGGTCGGTTACCTGTATTGATTGGTTTAAAGGTTTAAAACGATTGGCTTCTGCGGTTTGTTCGAATTTTAAATGCAAAGCGTTTTTTTGAGAGGGTTTTTTTTATTTTATTTTTAAAGGTTTAATGTAAATTATTTGATGGTATTAACCACTTCAAGCTAATTTTATAAATCAATAATTAGGTAAGTTTTGTAGTTACCTACTATTGAAGTCCCGTGGTATTTTTTGGTCTGTTTAAACAACTGCCGCTTTGGCCTAGTTTTCGCAAGCGTGCTTGGTGTCAGCGTCGCGTCTTCAGTTTTCAAATTGAGCAAAATATTTCTTTTAGTTTTAACTTGTTTATGGATAACGGAGCTTGAAAATATTCCGGTTAGTTACAATTGCTATTACGCATCATCTTTTCCATGGAAAAACTAACTTTTCATATTAATATTTTCACATCACAAACCCCAGAGTAGATTAGTGTAAGCAACTATTATTAAGAATAACTAAGAATTCTGTAAAAGAACACAAAACATAACTAGTAAATAGTGTGTGTATGCTTACAAAATTATACATTGAATATTATAATTATTACGCACACTTCAGTTTATTTTCAGAAACGAATATAATTATGTAGATATGTAACCTAAGCGTGATATTATGTAATATTTATTTGTGAACTATCTAACATTAAGTCAATTGAGTTTAAATTGTTTAAATTTCTCACTACAAAAATAAAGCCCTGTATTATTATGTTTAATCTGTTTTACATAATATTTTTAAATAACATTAATAACTTAAAGCATATCAAAAGCATAGCATATTCAAAAGAAATCATGGTAATAAAATTAGTATTAGATAGATAGAAATAAACAATTTTTTGACAGAAATCCAAAGTGATTCCGTTCAAATTTTAAACCTGTCAAGCATTTGAAGCTAACTTCACTATCATCTGCACCCCTGTATTAGAAAGTCGACCCTCGTGCTTTTTGAATAGAGAATAACAAAAGAACCCGCGTGAAAGAAACAACAATATGCATTTAACTCTCTGCGAGTGAAAGAGAAAGAGGCATATTCATCCCTCTGTAGCAGGGGTAACTTCGAAATACGCACTACGCATGCGCGGCCAATATTCTACCAAGATGGCTGCCTGTGTTAAGTTCATATTTTGTTTGTCAGTTTATACGTTTAAAATACAGGATTCAACAGTAGAAATACATTTTTACTCATATTTCTTTAATCCACGATGAAATACAAAATTTAATGTTTTCAAAGGATTCGTAGGATTGAATTTGAATGGCATAAACAGTAAAAATAGCTGTCAAGGCGAGATAACCTAAAACATAGGTAAGTCAACTTATTTTTTAAAAGGTAAACAAAAAGGTTGTGGTTAATACATTGCACCGTGTTATAACTTTTTAAATCAAATTTCATATTTTTCTTTTAACAATGAATAAGTATATTTAAAAGAGTTGTATTTTGCTTGAAGTTTTATTCAGATTGCAAGACATTAACGTACCTACTTACATAGTAAATCCTACTTTTACACGTAGGTATAAATAAAAGTCGATTTCACATTCTTGAAATGTATAAAACGTAATATAATTATGTTTTTATTGACAGCAAAACCAATATCTTCATTATAAGTAGGTAAGTTACTATAACAATATAAGAATGATTTTTCAAAACTGCTTGTATATTGTTCTTTCTGCCCAGTAATACAAGTTGAATGTTTCACACTTACTACATTTATAAAGAACTGATTAACCACCATTCAATTATTTAAACATAACTTGAATTGATCTTGTTTAGAGCGTAACGAGAAGTCTTGCTCTCTTTATAAACGCTTCAAATATCTTCCACGTTTTTTGTTTTTAATAAAAACTTTTGTTAGGTACCAATAAAATGAAAACAAGAACATTTTGATGTAACCAGAACACCTTGGCGTTATAAACCAAAATGTAAATGCAGTTGTATAACTGATCGTTGTTCGAAATGACCATTAATATTGGCGTCTTAATGATGTTCAGAATTCAAATTCGGGTTCGCCAACGGCAAATTTAAGTTGGTCCGTCCATGCATTGAATACGTTACTTGAATGACGGGTCTAATTAATCCTAACGTTGAACGAGCAAACTCTCATTGAAGACAGATCAAAAGAAACCTCCTAATGGATATTTGAATGCCACCATAGTATTTACCTTTAGTATTAATCGACTAAGTAACGTATAGAAAATAGTGAGTCATATTATTACTAAGAAAAAATATTTGAAGCTGATGTTGGGAGCGGACCACATTATAGGACTGACCAAATCAATCATAACATCTCTCACAAATTAGCTAAAGGTAAAATGTTACTTGATAGATAATAAATAACAACCTTTTATATAGGTATACGAAGTTACATAAACAGTTTTGCTATTCTTAGTAGACAACACAGATTTTAACAGGTACTTAAGTAATTCGACAAGACGGATTACCTGATGGTAAGCAATTGGCGCCGCCCATGGACACAGCAACACCATAGGAGCTACGAGTGCGTTGCCGGCCTTTTGAGGATTAGGGTTTTGGAGATTTAGGGATTGGAGACGGTTAACAAAGATTGGGCAAACTCACTCACAAGGCGAAACAGAACCCTATCGTTAATTCACGCCAGTTTTCTGTGTGGCCCATTGACCCATTCTTGCCGAAGCATGGCTCTCATGCATGCATGAATCACGTTCAGAAAGTCGCGATCCTTAACTTCAGTTATGGATTTACTAATTTTTTTTTCTTAGCATGCCACGGTACCAAGTTAACGGATCACCTGATGTTAAGTAATCGGCTTCGCCCTTGAA